TTGAGGCTCTCGGTTCTCTCGGCTTTCTACAGCAAAGGGAAAAAAGGCTCAATGGCTCGACGATACTCCCGGTCTGCTGTTGCTCGCTAGTTCTCAGACTCGGGGGTCGACAAAACTCACATCAGCACACACTGAACTCGCCTCGTCGGAAATCTGATATTCTCGTGAAGGCTGGCTTAGGTCGGCTGCTGCTTGGTCCATCGGAGGGCCTGCTTTCGGTCGTGTGCGGATTGCCGGAAAATTTGGACTTAGCCGCGACCAAAAAGGGTCACTTGTCAGCTCTCCAGCGACGCTTTCGGTTGCTCGACCTTAGACCCACTGTACTCGACGGAGCTGACCGCGCGTCGCAACGCGGCAAAATTAAAATTTATATTTTCCTCAACTAACCTCTACTAGCTAGTAGTAGTGGCAAGTAAGGGTCGATCCCACGAGGAGTGTGAATTAAATTGTGAATTTCTTGCATTAATTGAATTAAGAAAGCAATAAAAAAGGGGGGGGTTTAATTTAAGAACTAAATTAACTAAAACTAATAAAGAAAATATTATCTAAAAAAATGAAAATAAAAATAAATAAATGAAGAGAACTTTCTAGTTCACGGTTCCGTCTACACCCTCGACTGACACGTCTAATCAATTCTGGCATCAAATCTCGCTATCTTATGAAATTACTAGCCCTAGGCAACGACACGGTCTGTTACCCGAATTTTTTCTTATTTTTAATCTAACCGCGAGACGCTCTACGATTAAATCTGACCTCTTGAACAGTCTAGGAAACGCTTCCTAAATTTAATTCAATTAGCCGCTTTACGATTTAGAAAAATAGGCTAGACTAAGTAGTGAACTCAACCGCGTTCGTTCACTTAAATAGGTCGTGTTATCCCCGGTAGTTACCATCTTCCGATTACCACTTGCGAATTAAACACATCAACAATTACGGATTGAAAGCCTAATTCAGGTGTAGATATGTAAAGCCTAATCTAGGTGATCAATCTAAATCCAACTCAACACATCATGGTTAATTATTCAAAATAACATAAGCAATTCCAAAAAGATAATAAAATCATCAACCATATAAATCAATCAAACATCATCAAGTACGTAGGGTTCGACTTCCCCGGAACTAGAAATAAAATTTAAACTAACATAATGAATAAAAATAAAAAGATAAAAGAGAGAGATTAATTATCTCCCTCGTGTGCGGGTGCGGCCTCCCTCCGCGATTATCGGCTTCTTCGTCTGTCTGCTCTCTGTTCGCCTATCTGTCCTGCTCCCTGTTCTTTTCTCTTGATGTCTGGCGGCTCTCTGTCCGTGAATAATGTTCCCTTTTCCAAGTCTCTTGCAAATAAATAAATAAAAGGGTGGGCCCCTGATGCCCTCCAAATTTTCTTCCAGGCCTGCGTGACTCTCTCATGTGATGGCAAAGATAAGACCCACTTATTCCATTAATTTGCTAATGTAAGGCCATGGGTCTTTATTTAAATAATAATAACTGGGTCTAAAACTGAAAAGGTCTTGAGCCAGTGTTGGACTGGTATGGGGTGCCTGGGCGGAGTATGGGGCTCCCCCGTATTGCCTACTTCAATCTTCTTTCAACGTCTCGTCATCCATAAGAATACTCTAATATCCTGAAAATAAAACATAAAAAATATCAAAGTACTATAATCCACCTAATAAATAAATAAGTCGAAAAATATAAATGTGCGATAAATTTAAGCATATAAAAATACGCTAATAAATATATAAAATACACACTTTTCTCGACTAATCAAATCTCCCAAAACTTAAACTGTTGCTTGTCCCCAAGCAACTTAGAACTAAAAGCACATAGATGGATAAGAAAACAAGTACGTGGAACTTTACTTAGGGCCTCACAATTCTCACTTAAGTGCATAGTTCAAACAACTCAAATTAACTTATTCGGACTCAAGACGAATCCATTCTAAGAACTCAAACACTTCAAGTATCAATCCAAGTGACCACCATAGTTTGTCAATCTCTTTAACGAATGCACCGATCAATGCAACTAATGACACCCATCTCTTTGCTAACAAGTCTAGTTTCTTTTCGTTTCTAGCCGAAGTCCAAACGTCTCATTCTCCAAACTCTTGTTTTTTTTCTCTTTTTTTTTTTTCTTTTTTTTTTCTTTT